TTGCCTATTCAAATTTGAACTTGATATTCAAACTAGAAAAAAAATTGCCACTGACTTTGCAGGATTTTGTTAGATGTTCTTTGTCTAATCTGGATCTCTATTTGATTGCTATCATTCTCTTTGCATTTCAATTCTGATGGGGTTTGTAATCTGCTATATTCAAATGGCTACCTTTTAATATGAATCTTAGCTTTCATTTCTCCCAATTTTCAGAAATCATATCTCTATTGTGCCACATTTGGTGGATTCTTCCAAATTTCTTGCCCTCATGTGAATTCAGGGAATACTATTTTTAGCAATGCATGATATTTCAAAACTTTGAGCAGTCCAATTTTCTGGGTTCTAGATCTCACTGAATTGAGACTTGATTGACTAGTTTTGCAACAACTACCCAGCTCTTTGCAAAGAAAGTACCACTTTTTGAAATCTGTCTCATCGAAAGAGAGATTATGCCAATGTTCTTCCCCTGTCCGGGCGAAGTTTCTTGACAGAACTTTTGCGTGCCAATGCATTGATTATGATCTGTTTATGTTGCTTCCTTCGCATCATCAAATGTTGTGTAATCTTTGGGGAAACTGGAGCATCAGAAATGGTTACGTAGCATTTTGTTTAGTTGTGACTTTGGGCTACTCATAGGGTTCATATTAGTGTTTGTTTAGGCTGACCAAATTACTCTGTTTAAGGAAGTCTATTGGGATGCTAAATTAATAAAATAATTGCGTACTCTAGCTAGTTACATTTTGAAAAGAATGAAACATTAATGTTTCTCTTGGAAAATAGGTAAATGAACAGCTGAAAATGATCAAAGAAAAGTGATGACAAGTGCAGTATATGCATAATAGTGTGCCATGGAAACAACTCAAACAAGTTATTTACAAGTTGAGTGCCTATTGGTTATGACTTGTGACTATGAATGCCTTTAAGTTCTGTCTCCTTGTTGAATAACAAGCATTGTGTCGCTTAACACCATAGTTGTGAAAAGCGCGCTTGAGGCGCGCCTGAGGCGCGATGCGCACGAAGCGCCAGAGGCAGTGCATCAGCAACCTTGATGCGCGCGCAGTTCATGAGGCGCGCGCCTTACTGCGCCTCGTCGTATTATGCGCAGTGCCTTGATGCGCAAAAAGGCGCGCCTTGTGAACACCTGTTTATTTTTTTTATTATTTTATAAATTAGGTTTAGGGATTAGCGTTCTTTATTAGGACTAAACCCTCCCAACTTTTAAGACCCCCAAGGAGATTAAACGGCACCTGGGCAAATTAAACGATTGTTTTCTCTTCTTTTTTTTTCTTCGAGTGCGACTCTTCCTCCTGTCTCGCAAGTCCTCCAACGGCACACCTTCCTGTCTCTTCCTCCCATCTCGCAAGTGGTAGAACTCAGAAGAAGTCAAGCAGGTGATATCGGCTCTCCTTCCCCTCTCTTCTTACTTTATTTTTTTCTGTCACTAGTTTTCTTCCTTCTACCTTCTACTGGGCAAGTTAATTTGTCAAACACTTTGTTGTCGTATGGAAGAATTTGCAGATTTAGAAGGGGAAGATGGCCCAAATTCTAATAATTCGCTGGTTTTCTTCCTTCTTAGCCTTTTGTCTATCATTTTGTTGCTCTTTGAATGCTTTTTGTCTATGACTTTTGCTGCTCTTTGAACTTTATGGTTTTTAATTTTATCAATGCCTCTATGGTACAATGTGTGACTTTCAATCTTAATTGATTTCTAAACCTTTATTATGCTTTTAAAAATTTTGTATATACTATTCTTAATGTAGATATACTATATATTCAATATTCTATTGGTGCCTTAATCTGCGCATTGTGTTCGTGATGCGCGCGCATCAAGTGCGCATCGCGCATCGAGGCGCTAGAGGTACTTTGTGCATCGGTGCGCATCACGCCTTAAATAACTATGCTTAACACGTAATAATTCTATAATCATAGAAGTCTATGTCACATGTCTTGGTTTAGCAGACCTATTTTGAAGAATGGGGTTAGCCTCTAGTGTTTGAACAATGTCTAGTGGCGGGAACAATGTCTAGTGGTGGTTGACATTTACTTGAACAATTTCCAGTGGACATTGAACAGTAGTACTAGATTAAAAAATTAAAACATATGATATTACATTAGAAAAGTCACTATGTTTTAGTACTATATAGGTAAATTTTCCTTGTTTTTAATTAGCATGGGCTGTTTGGTTAGGTTTTTAACCCTGCATATTAATAAGAAAAACAATCACCAAATGACTCTGTATCTAAATCCACTCTCACCCAATCTGAAACACCCTTAAGACTGACTTGATGTTTGTATGCTTTTTTCGTCATGAATGGACTATCCTTTAATTCATCTGTTTTTATTTTCTTTTATGTGTGTGTGATTAATATCATTAATGGTAATATTTAATTATATAGATAATCGCGAGCACTTAGGAGCTGTTCTTTATTTCTTTCTTCTGTCTTCTTCTGATTGTTTTTTTTTTTTTTTTTTTTTGAATTTGGGGTTTAGTGATTTTCTCGGCCGAGTAGTGTTTATGAATATGGATCCATTCCCCAGTTTTGTTTATCGCTGTCCTCACATTGCTTTTTCAGCTCATTGCCAAATGCCATTAAGTGATCGAGAATGGTCCATATAGACAACAAAAACTATTTGAAATTTGAGAATGGTGACTCTCAATATAAACTTTTTATTTTTACCTCGTTTTTTATATATTAAATTTTCCATTCTTTTCAAAGTAAGTATTGAATGGTTTATATTATGGAGTATTATTTTTTCTCTTGCATAAAGTTCAAATTCTAAGATTACATAAATAAAAATACATTACGTATTAGCGATTCTAATATATTTTACTTTATCAATACTCAATAAAAATACATAATTAAATTAATTAAATTATAATTTTTAATTAGTGAAGAATGAAAATGTTGGCGAGAAGAAGGAAATAATTTACAAATATGCTAGAGGTACACTAAAGAAATGTATCCTAAAATGTATGACAAAGGTATGCACTGACATTTTAATAGTTCACATTGATAAAATGCTAGCGCGATAAAAAAAATTGTACGGAGTATTAAGAAGTACGGAGTAATATTTTGTGTCTGTGTAAACATCACACCAGTATCACACTGGCACAAAATGGAATCGTATAGTTGTGGTGTACAATTTAAAATACAAATTTTTGATGTTCAAATAATTTACTCCTAGTTCAATAATTTATGGTTTCTTTTGTATCTGTCCTTTAGAAGAAGGAAAGATATTTTTAAACGTCAAAATGTAACCTTTTTTTTAAGGGAGGAAAGGAGTAGAAGAAGGAAAGAGTATGAGTGACATGTACTGAAACATGTGTTAAAATTCCGGCAAGTCGAGAACAACGGGTAGAATATCTTGTAAAATTAACCACTTATATATAAAGTTGGGATCCATCATTTTAAACTCAAAAGCTTAAGCTAATAGGTAGGGCTTCATCCTTTCATATATGCTAGTAATATTCATCTTTATTTTCTGAAGTGGAAACTCCAACACACCTCCTCAATATATATTTTTTACTCCCTCCGTCCACATAAGATCTTCCCATTGCACGTTACGAGGCTTGACCGACTTTATTTTCAATTCAATTTATTTGAATATAGGGGTAAAATTTTAATATAAAACCTATATAGTAATAAACTACATGAAAAGTTCTACAAAACTAGAGGTGACAACACTATATTATTTTATGAAATGAGTAGTAAAAATAAACAAACAAAGTGAATTAAGTTTGACCTTGTGAATAGTGTCTGGGAAGATCTATGGTGGACGAAGGGAGTATTAGATTGTGTGTTAAAAATGCTTTTTTAACACACTTCTTTCAAATTCACGATTTAGGTTTGTAATTATTAATAATGTGTGTTTTTTTAAAATTTACTTTATTAATGTAAATTAAAATGTTATAAAAGTAGTATTTAAAAACAAAAATAAAAAAAGAATTGAGATCGATATCTGTCTGTGAGTGGAGATGAAATATAGATAAAATAAAAAACATCATATGGCATTGAATTTAAAGATGATGATGGTGCCGATGCCAAAAACACTTTATACTTTTTTTTTGGATGTTCTAGACAATAAGTTATACTCTACTACGTATTCAATTTAAATAACTATACTTCTTCCGTCTAAAAATGTTTTCCTAATTTAATTTTCTTGGTCAAACATTTTATATTTTGAGTATAAATTATGGAAATAATATATTAAATTATCATATAATCTTAATATCAATAAATTAATTTTGAAATAAAAGTATAAAATATTATATTTTTATAATGCTCCGTATATAATTATATATAAATAAATACATGAATAGTCAAAATATTATTCCCTCTGTCCCAAATTAAATACTTTGTTCACTATTCACAAGGTCAAACTTCATTCACTTTCTTTATTTATTTTCGTTAACAATTTGGTAAAATAAAATAGTCATGTCACTACTAGTTTTGTAAATCTTTTGATGTAGTATTTAATTGTATAATTTTTATTTTTTAATTCTACATCATTTATTATATAAAATAATTTGAAAATAAATTCAATCAAAAATCATAAACTAAAACTTACAATATAAATTGGGACGAAGGAAATAAATTAAAAATTATAAAAAAAATTAAATGAGAAAAAAATTGTGGGGTGAGTACACAAAGGATGTGGCTCATCCTTTAGAAAAGAGAAGCGGTATTGACTAGAGAAACCCTAGTCCTATACGAAGATTTGCTGCCGTCGGACTCTCACCACCGCGCCACTCGCCGCCGCCGACGCCGGAGTTCTACCACCACGCCACGTCGCCGCCTGAAGTCCAATCGATTCATTCTCCGATCTCCACTCTCCAAATCTCCAATCTAAGAGGTAAGTTCTTATAAATAATTTTGAATATCAATTTATCATTAATGAATGTATGAACTGTGAGTTTTTTTGTTGTTTTTTCATTTTATTTGATTATTCATTATCTTGCCAATTGTTATGAATAGTGTTGTTAATTTCATTCACTATGCGAATAGTCATATATTTCTAAAAGAAAGATGAATGTTTTTGGAAGAAAGTTGAATGTTTTTAATTTCATAATGGGGCCGTTTTGTAAGAATTTTAAACTTTTTGGGCCAAAAATGAAAAAAATGAAATTTTTTGGGTCTTGAGATAGCTCGCAGGGATAGATAGAGAGAAAGAGAGACTCCGCCGCCTCGTGAGTTAGGTTTCTTTGCCGATCGACATCGCCGACGCCATCTCTCCGGCGTCACTGTTCAGGTGTCCTCTTCTCTTCTCCAATTCCCCTTTATTCTGTAAACTCTGTATCTCTCGGCCCCTCTCTCTCTCTCTCTCTCTCTCTCTCTCTCTTTCCTTCTCCTTGTCTAAGTTTCTTGGCTATTTAATGGTGTGTTCTCTACTGGTATGAATTTATAATGGTGTCATAAACTAAGAAGCACTGGTGCTTCAAACAAAGGCGCACTAATCACCGAAAAAGTCTGTAATTGTGTCATAAAGTTTGAGACATTTTATGTGGTTTGATGTTAATTTTAACCCTAATTTTGGGACTTGTATTATGTTTTTTATCTATTTTGTGTGATGTTATGTGTTTGATTTAATTAAAATTAGGATGATATATTTTTTGTGAATATTTCAAACATAAATACATGCATTTATATCAGATTTTCTTCTCTTTTTTTCCCATCCAAACACCATATGTGCATGTTAAGTGTAATGTCTGTTCTTTTTTTCCCTTTATACATTTGATATCACATATAGTCTACAATTTCCCAGGAATTGGAATGGCAGAAACCATGAGTTTAATATCTCAAAATGCTGCTCCCAAAGAACGACCGACCAAGAAGATAAGGGTGGAACTCCATGAGGGCAAAAAACAAACTCAAGAGATTACAGTCGCTAACTCAGACGCCTCAGGTAAGCGGAAAAAGAAGAAACGTAGCAAAACCCTTGAACCCAAGGAGGTGGAGGAAATGAAGAGGCTGGAGAACTCGTTGTTTGGCTCATTACATTCTCCTCTTGAATACGGAAAGGCAGATGGAGAAGATTCTGAAGTGTTCATTGTGGACCGGATTGGAAACAATTCGTTGACTGCTTATGAGGATGATGAAACCCAAATGGCAGATGGGAGTGTTGAAGATGAGGGGACTGAAGAACAGAAACCAGCATGGATAGACGAAGAAGATGAGAAAATTAGTATAGACCTAACCGGTGTAAACAGATTGAGGAAACTAAGGAAGGAAGAAGAGGAGACTGTGGTTTCTGGATCAACATACATTGCCAGACTGAGGGCAGAATATCTTAAGTTAAATCCGGGAACCGATTGGGCCAGACCTGATTACAAGAGAGGAAGCTTAAACTCTGATGATGAAGATTCTGATGGAGAAAATGACGGGATCGTCCTTCGCACGAACGAGGAGCTCGTTGTGAAAAGCAGCACAAAACTGTTACCGGGGATTCTAGAACATTCTAGATTGGTCGATGCGAACAAAAAAGAGTATTCAAATGGTCCCATCAATTCAGTTCAGTTCCACAAGAACAGGCAGCTGCTGCTTGTTGGCGGGTTAGATAAAAGACTCCAATTCTTTCAAGTTGATGGAAAGGAGAACCCCAAAATACAAACTGTTTATATCGAAGATTGCCCAATTAAAAAGGCGTCTTTTTCACCCGATGGATCTCAAGTCATCATATCTGGCAGAAGAAGGTTCTTCTATGCCCTTGACTTGGTCAAGACAACAGTCGATAAAATCGGACCTCTTGTTGGCAGAGAGGAAAAAAGCTTGGAAAGCTTCGAGGTATCTCCCAACTCCGAGATCGTCGCATTTCTAGGCAACGAAGGGTATATTTTGTTAGTATCCCTCAAAACTAAGGAACTGATTGGAACCCTAAAGATGAACGGGACTGTCCGTTCAATAGCTTTCACCCATGATGGAGAACAACTGTTGAGCTCTGGTGGGGATGGCCAGATATACCATTGGGACTTGAGGAAAAGGGCTTGTTTCCATAAAGGTGTAGACGAAGGCTGCATAACCGGCACCTCTCTGTGTGTCTCCCCAAACGGGGCTCTATTTGCAGCCGGTTCGGACTGTGGGATTGTGAACTTGTACAACCGGTCAGACTTTTTGGGCGGGAAGAGGAAACCCGCGAAGAGAATCGAGAACCTAACCACCCGAGTCGATTGCATGAAGTTCAACGTGGACGGTCAGATTCTGGCCATGTGTTCGAGCTTGAAGAAGAACAGCATGAAGCTGGTGCACGTTTCCTCGGGCACGGTTTTCTCAAACTGGCCACCGCAGAACCAGAAGCTGGGCGATCCGCGGTGCTTGGATTTCAGTCCTCACAGTGGGTTCATGGCCTTGGGGAATGCCAAAGGTAGAGTTTTGCTATATAAATTGCATCACTATCATCATGCATAGTAGATGTGAAATTTTGTCAAGAATGTGTTCCTCATACTGTTTTGTTTTTTTAAAAAAGCCCTATTTGTCACCAGAAGTTATTTGTTTGCAATAGAGCATATAAGCTCCATGTTTGTACTCTATTTTAGTGTCTTATTTATTAATGCACTAAAGATTTTGACTTTATTATAGCCCAGTTATGTTGTTGACACTGGCTACCAATGTCATATTATTATGACATTGGTCAATTTCAGCACCCTACGGTGCTCCGTTTGACCCGAAGTGATTTCTAGCAACCACCATTACCTTCCATCGTACCCCCTAATTGAGTTGACATTAACCCAATTTAGGGGATATGCGGCGGGTCGGGGTGGGGGTAGGCTTCAGTGTCAAACAAAACACCACAGGGTGCTCAATAAGCTCAAATTGACTAGTGTCATGATATGACATTGGTGGTTAGTGTTAAATTAATGAAAGTGCTGTACTTTGTGTTTAATATTCTTTTCGTCCCAAATTGTTTGTCCTGGTTTGATTTTTGTATTGACTTTGATTATGAGTTCTCAAAAAATATCTTTAATTATAATTTGAATTTAATATAATTGGGTTTGTTTCGAGATGTAATTTTGATATATTAAAATTTAATAACATTTGTTCTTTTAAAATTATATTTAACATCTATACTATATACAAAAGCAAAAGAAATATAATAAAAAATTTTGCACAAAAAAAAAAAAAATGCCGCATGAAGTATCATGTTGTAACTACTAGCTACCGTTGATGAGCTTTTGGTGAATAATCGACGGCTGTAAATTTGGTATTGAAGAGGCGCACATTTTTAATGACATCCTTAATTGTGAGTACACATTTGGGAAGCAAGAGAGACGCACGCTTTAATTAAATAGTGTCATCAAATGCATAGTGGTGGCGTGTCATCAAATTGATTTTTTTAAGCGGCAGAAGCTTAAATGCATGATCGCGTCCACATTTGGCAGAAGCTTTGAGGATGGCTCTTCACTTACCAATGGGTGGCAGAGACCAGGTGTGGGAGGGGTTGAGGCGAGTGTGGTAGGGCAGGAGCGGAGGAGCGGGAGAATTTTATTTTTTTTGTTGGAAAATACTTTTTTACCACTTATGTTATCAAATAGGGAAATTAAAAGTTAGATCAAAATTTTCTGAAAACAATATTTTCTCACACCCTAGGCACACATTTAATATTTGTTGTTTTTTTTATTATGACATTTCGTTTTAGAATTCAATATTTAGAAATAGTCTTATACCGAGTAATTATTTTTTTGAGTGTATATATAGTCTTATTATTAATGATGTTTTTTTGCACAACTTATATACTACGTAGTACGTATTATTGATGATTGGTCATTTGGTCGTATAAAACGTTCCTTAGACTTTTATTATTGAATTGTTTGCAATTACTTCCCCTGTTGCAAAAAAATGTTTTTATAGTTTAATTTTTTTGGGTCAAATTTTGACAATAAATTCTAGAAAAGTATATTTATTTTATATACATTTAATATAATTTTGAAACAACTCCATAATAGATGTTAGTTTTAATGAATAGGGGTACTGGAGTAGTTGTAAGCATAGACTTTGTCTAAAATTGTTTTTTATTGCTATTTAAAAAACTGTATTGATATGCTATTTAAATATTAGTCTACTTCGTTATATATTATGTACTCCTAATTCTTATAAATAAGGTTATCATTTAAAATTGATATGAAAATTTAAAAAGGTAAAATTTTATGGTTGAAAAAGTGATACAAAACTACAATGGTGACAATTAAAAGGGTCACAACTTCTTTTGAGATAAATGAAAAAAGAAATATAAAACTTTTTATGAGAGAGAGTGAGTATATAGAACCATTAACAACTCCAATTATTTATATGTAATGTTGAATTTGGATCTATTTAGGAATAACATTAGAGATTAGCGTTAGTATTTTAAAAAGGTTATCTACGGGTAACGTTCAGCGTTAGCATTTTCAAAGTAATTTGTACCGTTAAGATTTTATTCAAAACGCTAACGGTAATTTCTAACGTTATTCCCAAACAGACCATTTATATTTAATGACACACAAATAATTATTTATTGAACTTATCATAATTCACATTTTTAATTAAATTTCTTGCCGTGCAAAGCACGGGTATGAATCTAGTTAAAGTCAAACTAGAATAAATGTTTTGCGATCAATTGAACATTACGTTTTCAAAATAAGAAATCACCTTCATTAAATACGAGTAAAACATAGAGAAAGTATAAGATAAGATCTCTACGTGTTTACTCCCAGAATAGAAATTTACGTTGTGGTAATGTGACACTGTATATGGACATTTCACAATACTTTTTGGTAATATATATGGCATGATTGACACTTATATACATTTTAACTCCTGTTTTGGAAATAAAAATATGAAATTTTTATTTTGGTATATTTTCTATTTTTACTCCTATAAAACTAAACAATTCGATAATCGGTGGGGTTCTAGCAACACCGGAGTACGATGACACTCCGGTGTCCCTAACCTACACCTAAACCCTTCACCCTGCCCCTACACCCCACCCCAACCTTGTCGTAAGCCACACATTTTGTGGGGGGCTTACGGCGGGGTTGGGGTGGAGGTGCAGGGGGCAGGGGTAAGGGTGGGGGCAGGGGTAAGGGTGAGGGATTCAGGGGGTGTGTTAGGGGGGTATGAACCGTTAATTTTGTGAACGGAGCACCGGAAGTGCCCAAAATGACAGTGGCACCGGAGTGTTATCGTATTCCGGTGTCACTAGAATCTCACCGATCAATAATATAAGAATTGGAAAGAAAACAAAACAAAAAGAATTAATGGTATGTTACTGGTAGTAATAGGGATGGATGGTGATGGATCCGTTCAATTGAATCAATTGGTGATCATTACTCGTTGGTTAAACTGTGTTTTTCGCCTCTAATGATGTTTTAATTTGTTATGTTTGGATTCTCAATAAAGAAATTATTCTAATTTGAAGTAGAACATAAAAAAAAGTGTTAAAATAGAAGTTTCATGTTTTTATCTTTCAAATAAGAGTTTCAACTGTGGTAATGTGACACTGTACTTTGACATTTTACAATATTTTTTGGTAATATATATCATCAGGATTGATACTATAGATGTATTTTAACTCTTATTTTGGAAATAAAAATATGGAAGTTCTGTTTCGGTATATTCTCAAAGTTTTGTACTTCTACTTTAGTCTTTTTCCCTTATCAATATGGTACAATAATCCAAAATATTTTCTCCGTCCCTAAAAAAATATTTTTGTTAAATGTTCATGTGTTAAATTTTATTCTCTATTTTTTAATCAATTTTTGTAGCTTTTTTTATTTAGATAATATAATAGTCTCAAATATAGAAATATACCAAAAACGGTCTCCAACTGGGAGTAAAATATAGACATATACCAAAATAAAAAGTTATTGGTTTATTTAGATAATAAAATAGTCTCAAATAGTCTCACATGCATTACCGTTAGAAATAAACCGTTTTCCAAGTGATTAGAACTCAAAAACCCTTGAATGAGAGTCTTGTGTCTGAGAGGTGACTAAGTGAGTCGATGTTAGGAGTACACCGAAAAGGGCTACCGATTTGTATACCAAGTATTCACATAAACACATAAACACTCAATATCTGTACATGTACAGGATATTAAATATCAGTGTTTGTCTTTCACTGATGTGTACCCAAGGTTAAATGTCACCTCTTTAAAACACAACATTTGATGTGATGGATGTGCTAACATTTAGGAGAGAATGTATCTATAGCCTTTATTTGTTCCTTAAAATTAAAATCAAACAAAAGTAGCATTAGCTGATGACCAAACTTCATTTACACTTAGTTATAAGTGGCCTTTGTTGTCATTGTTCCCCTGTAAAATCCTCTGCCCTCTCCTATGGGTGTTGACCACCTTCCCACTTTGACTGAACACATTGGTTCATGCTCCTAAATGATCTCTAATAACAATATTCGGATTTAACGTTATTAAAATTAATCTGTATAGTAAAAAACTCTTATTTCAATTGATCATTTATATAAAAAAATAATTTTTCACTTCTTATTTTTTCGATTTTTTATTTAGTTTTTAAATATGTAATTTTCAGTTTTTATTTCTATACTAATGGTTTCGTACTATCATGGGTATATTGAGATGGATCTATTTCTTTGTTGATCATTTTTTCTGATCTTATGCATGTGATTATGACCCTAACGTGTGTGTGTGTAGTGTGTGTGTGTTTATTTTTCTTAATTCATGTAGAAGTATATATAATTTCTCAAGCTAAGTCAAGTCTTTGTGTTTCCTTGAGTTTTTCTTTATTTTAATGAAGCTTCCTTTTTTCATTTTTTTCTTCTAGTTAGTTGTGGAAAAGAGAGGGAGAGTTATACCATGCATGAAATATTTGGTCTAGAAATTAACTTAGTAAAAACAACATTTTCACACCTAACAACAGTTGACTTGCCATTTCTTTGCATAACCAAGAACTACGGAGTATATATTAATTGTATCCAATATTCCAATCTAAGGACCAATTCTTATTTATTTATTTACATATATTATTGTATTCTAAAGTACAGGATCTCATAATCGTTTACTAGGTATATCATTGCATGCAAATATATAAATATATTTATTTTTTTAAATATATAAATCTTATATTTTTAATTATACCTCAATTTTCAAATACATTGTCTTGAAAATAATTTTAATCGAACATCGTAAATGAAAACAGACGATTTAAATTGTGACGAGGCTATTGACTAAGTCAAATACAAAATATGATAGAACAAAATGGCGATTGAGTTTGAATTAAAAATTACTCCGAAGTAGGAGTATATATGTCCGCCTAGAAACAAAGTCATGTTTATAAAATATACGGAGTAGAATAATATAAATATTGTGTTTTATTAGTACTCTCCCTCCACCTAAAATGTTTGTTAAATTACACAAAATGAAGTGAAATTTTAATTATTTACAAATGATTTTATTTAAAAATTGTTATAGAAAATAAAAATAAAATTTACATATTGAAACCCACATAAAAAATTTTCTAAAACAAGAAGTTCTAAGAATATTTTATTTTATCAAATATTCGATAAAAACGTACAAATAAATAAAATTTTTTGTAATTTTTGAATATTGAACTGTGATACGGAGCATTTTTTTAGACGGAGGGAGTATTACTCATTGTGTCCT